CTCTGGGACCCTTAATTCAAAAATCTCAAGTTAGCTAGGGATTCGAGCAAAAAATCCAAGAATTGTCTTGGCCACTAATCTGATTGTCTCTTTTCTCCTGAAATCCTCTACTAACTGGGCCGAATATCTTATTTAATCAGTGAACCATTCAATTCTCCACCACATTGTGTACATAGTTTTCAAGGTGCCAAGGTGAGGCTAGGCGACAGGGGGTGCCTTGTCGCCCAAGTGGGTACCTAGGTGTCACCTAGGCGATGGATTTTTTTTAAGTAAAAAACATATATCCTCGGGTAGTTCCCTAGGTACCATAAGAAGAAGAAGAAGAAGAAATTAAGAAGAAAATGTGTTGATTAGACAAAATTTTAAGACCTGCCTTATTGGTTTGGGTTTTGAAATCTTTGAGGGTTCAATACAGCATTTAGCAATGCCTGTGTTGATTAAACCCTAACAAATAAGAAAACAATAAGAATAAATTAGTATATAAACACACACAATGAATGTTCTGGTTTAATAATGTTTATTTTATAATTATAATCTCAAAAAATCAAGAATGTAAAACTATTTTACAATACAATGTACAAAACTGCTTGGCAATTAGGCGAGGCAAGCCTCCAAGGGTGCCTTGTCGCCTAGGCGTCACCTTGAAAACTATGACTGTGTATGGGATTAAAAAGAAAAGAAAAAAGAGTAGTTGTACTGCTCTAAAGCCAAGATGAAAACTAACCAGCAATAGATTCTTTGTTTAATCAATGAAAGCAAGCAAAAGAAAGAGAATCAGTGCAAAAGAAGAAGAGCAGGAGAAGGAGAAGAGAAGGGTCAATCATACTCTCTCTCCAGCCCCAATTACTTTTATTAAACTTGATTAGAAACATTACTGGGGGGGGGAGTACATGAATACCCTTAATAAGGCGGCTGCTTATAAACTTAAAGAAAAAAGGCTAACAAGACCATAAGTATAAAGGCCCTTTAACACAAAAAATAATAAACATGAGACTGAAATAAACTAAGGCCTATCTGGCCCAATATTTTTACACCAATCAGCTACTTGGGCTATCTCTTAGTGCCAAGTCCACTTCTACCTCAACATGGAATCCAATAGTAGAAAGGTTTGAGAAAAGACTATCTTCATGGAAATCAAAGTATCTCCAGAGGTGGGAGGAGAATGTTAATAAAAAGTACTCTATACAACTTACTGGCATATTATTTTCACTTTTTCCTATTCCATCAAGGTGGCAAAAAGGCTTGAAAGGATTCAAACGGAGTTTTTGTGGAAAGGTTGAAGGGAAGGGAGGAAAGTGCATTTGGTAAATTGTAATCAAATAACACAATCTCAAGGAAGCAGGGTTAGGAATTAAAAAAAATTAAGAGTAATGAAAACATCCTTGCTAGATAAGTGGTTTTGGAGGTTTAGTGAAGAAAGGGACAGTTGGTGGAGGAGTTTGATTTCAAAGAACTATGGATACAGGTCGATAGTGTAGGACCCAGGTCTATGTTCTTCCAGTTCCTATGGATGTTCTGTTTGGAGGGTCATTGAGAAGGTTTATGAATCCTTTTTTTCTTGATCAATAAAGGTTTATGAATCTTTCATCAAAGGAGTTTCCTATAAGGTAGGAAATGGTAAGTAGTTAAGGTTCTGGAATGGATTCATAGTGTGGCCAAAGATCTTTAGCCAAGGTTTTTCCAAACTTCTACTTCATTGCAGAAGATAGAGGTAAAAGTGGCACAATGGAAGCAATATCACTTGGATGCCAAAATCTCACAGGAATTTTGAGATAGGGAGTACAGCCAATCTATTGCTCTTGCTTCAAGGTAGCAAGATAAACATGGAGAGGGAAGACTAGAGAGTATGGAAGTGGGATGCAAGGGCTGTTTCTCTGTGAAATCTTTTGCCAAGAACCTCATGGAGACTAGAAATACAAGTTCCCCGTCCAAAGTTGTGTGGGTGTTTGCTGTCCTGTAAAACGATTCCTTTTCTAGTGTAGTTAGCGGCCTCAGTTAAGTGCCAAACTAAGGATGGATTGATCACCAGTGAGGAGATAAGTAACTATTAGGTTCTCTGAAGTAAATCATAAGTATTGATTCTTTTCAGGAATGCTTCCCAACAAAAGCTCCCAATCCTAGGTGGAATGGGTTTGCACCAAACTTCCTTAATGGGGAAAGACTACCTGAGATTATCATTCGGTGGAGACAAGGCTTTGAAGAAGGATGCACAGGACAAAAGAGTCCAAAGCCTACTATTAGGTTTTGTGGGGACTAAATAGACCCCCTCAAGAAAGCTTAAGAGAGTCAAGGTACTATTTAACTCTGAATCCCTAATGGCTCTTCTCAAACGCAAATTCCACCCTAACCTTGAACTTACATGTGAAGGTACAAAAAAAGTGGAGATAGGCTCGTTCTTCGAATTAGACAAGGCAAAAAGGTATGGAAACTGTTCCTTCAAGGGGGAATCCCCAATCCAGACTTGTTCCCAAAATTTAATGAGGTTACCAGAGTGCAAATCATACCTGGTTTGGGGCCAAAAAAAGAGGCAGAATAGTTTGGATGGCCTTCCATGGAGAAGCCATTGTGGTCCTAGCCGTAATTCCAGCATCCCATCCATTATCCACAAGCCCATGAATACTAGTCACTTTCTTGGTCCACACTTCCTCTTCTGAATATTCCCTAGGTGGGACCTCCACACTTCTTACTTCTGCTGACAAATTTCCGCCTAACCCTATGGTCCTTTTTCTCCTCCCCTAGCTCCCAAAGAAAATCTCTCATTAACTTCTCTAATCTCCTAAATATCCTTTTCGACACTTTGAAAACTGACAGAAAGTAGACCAGCAAATTCACTAAAGTGGATTTAATCAATGTGACTCTCCCCCCAAGAGACAAATAATTTATCTTCCAAGAAGCTAGTCTCTTTTCAAATCTTTCTACAATCAGGTCCCAAAAATTTCATTTCATAGGGTTACCCCTATCCCCTAGGGGCAAATCTAAATACTTCAAATGGCCAATTGGATACCATACACCCTAGGAGACCAACATGCTCTACCATCTCCCCCTCCAAATTTATTCCGACCATACAACTTTTTCAAAATTCACCTTTAGGTTCAACATTTTCTCAAAAAGTTGTACAGTCAGTTTTAAATTTCTAATCCAACTCAAATCACCACCTTCAGAAAAAAAAGTAAAAGAAAAAAAAAACACTGCATCATCCACAAATTGCAAGTGAGTAATTGGTACCCCATCCCTTCCCACTCTCCATCCTCTTACTTGATTCCTAGAATCTACTCTAGTAATTAGTCTTCCCAAAACATCTTCTATCAAGGAAAACAGGAATGGAGAGAGAGGGCCTCCTTGCCTTATACCCCTCAAGGCCAAGAAAAAATTCACCAGTGTCCCATTTACTAGGATAGAATAATGACAAGTTCTAACATACCCCATCACCCACTTTTACCATTTGTCTCCAAACCCAAAATTCACCATCACCTCAAGCAAAAAAGGACCAACCCATCAGACCATAAGCTTTTTCCAAATCAAGTTTGCACACCACTCCTTTCTTGCCAGACTTTTTGAAATCCTCCACACTTTCATTTGCTATTAAGATTCGATCAGTTATTTGCCTTCCTTCCACAAAGGTTACTTGATTCAGTGCAATAATAGTAGGGAGGACTCCTAATCCTATGAGACAACATTTTCGCTATAACCTTATACAAACTATTCACCAAGCTTATTGGTCTAAAATCTCTAGGATGGGCAGCATTTGTCTTTTTAGGGATCAAAGCCACAAAGGTGGAGCTCAACCCTAGATTAATTATTCCCCTTTTGTAAAATTCATCAAAAACCCCCCAAAATGTCCTCATGTCATTGTAAAACCACCTGGCACTGGAGCTTTTGATCGGTCCATAGAAAATACTGCCTCTTTAATTTCTTCCAATTCAAACTTTCTTTCTAACCACTCCCTAGCCTCTGATTATAACCTAGGTCATCCTAGCCCTTCAACCCACATTCTAACATTTAATGATCTTCTAAAGATTGACCTAAAGTGGTTTGTGAAGGCCCCAACAACCTCATTATGTTGGGTAATAGTAAAGCCCTTTACTTTTAGCTTAGAACAAAGTTTTTCCTTCTCCCATTTTCTAGAGCATGAAAAAAATTTTGTATTCCTAGTCATCAAAAAAAAAAAAAAGGAAAAAAATTGTATTCCTATCCCCCTCTTTAATCCATTTGCATCTTGGTTTTTCCTCCAACATTTTTTTTTTGTACAAAAGCTCTCAAGAGGGGATGTTAAAGAAAGTGATGGGCAGACTTGGCTCATCAATATCAGTAGAAGAGTTCATGCAGTATAATGCCCATGAGTTCTTAGATGGGCAGAGTTGGTTTGAGATTGTTGGGGAGAGATGGTTTCTGTAAATTGTTCTGATATATGTTGGCTATTGTAGTTCTGTATTAACAGTACCTTACTGTACTCTATGAGTCTCAATCATTTCAACTCTCTATGCAATTCTGCTTTTATCAATAAACAAATTTACTTTACCTTTCTTAAAAAAGGGTTTTGCAGAATTAGATGAAAGGGAAGAGTCATGACAAATATACTGTTACCGATCAATAGGTACAATTGAAAATATTTGCCTGGAAACTTGTCAAATATACTGTTACCGATCATAATTTTTTTTTTTCAGTGTAGGCATCCTCTTTGCTATAAATAATATTTGGTTTAAAGATAGTTCTTAACAATCCGAGCCATTTGTTCCTGCCGCGGCCATTAAAGTTCCAAAATTGAAGCCAACAGGACTAAAATAAATGAAAAAGGAAAGAACGAAAAATCCCATCTTGCAGGAAGTGCAGAATTTCAAATTTTACGATAGCTAGATTTATATGTTTTGGTAAAGAGAAGATGAATTGATTCTGATGAAAATTCGTGAAAAAACATGTAAAAATATTGGTTAAGGGTGAGAGAACATTAAGTAAAAGCACAGAGAAAGTTCGCAGAAAGGGTTGAAGGGAATGAAGCCCACCTCGTAATCGTCCATGAACACAACTCTTAACCCGCTGTCCTTCGCTTCCTTCAGGTTCAGACGAATTCCTGCTCTCCGTCTCTCTCTATTTCAGAATTCAGAATCAGCATTTCAGATCATATGTGCTGAAACGGATCCGGGCCGGGCCTAAACTTAAGCCAAGGCCCAAGCCCGGAAAATTTCGGCCCAGGCCCACGCCTTCACCATTACCGCCAAAATTTGGCGGTTGTTAGAAAATTTCAAATTTTCAGTAAATTTCAAACTGGTTCGTTCAAAATCCTCCGCCTCCTCCCTCCCCAAATCAGTCTCAATCCTTCCTCAAGATCTTTACAATATTTTTCTTTTCGAAAGCAGGATACCCAGTTGAGAAATCATGGTGAGGGAACGGAGGGTCGATTCATTCTATACACGATTGCGAGAGGCCGCTTCCGCTTCAGCTTTAGCTTCCTCCTCTCCTCTGTTGATATTTCCGTCGACATCCGACGTAGACTCTCTCTGCGCCCTGAAGATCATATTCCATGTTTTGGAGTCTGATTCCGTCCGCTACGCTTGCTATCCGGTCTCTTCCTTCAAGGAAATTCACAAGTATGCAGGCCCCGATCTCTGTGCTTCCTCTAGTAAGCCTATCTCTATCCTACTCATCAATTGGGGATGCCAGAGGGACCTTCAACGGGTTCTGAATTTAGGGCCGGCGGCACAGGTTTTCGTCGTTGATAGTCATCGTCCTATTCATCTCCACAATCTCAGTGAGCAGAATGATCGGGTAATTGTTCTCTACACTCAGGATGATGAGCAGCAGGCTGATTTGGCCTATGACTTTGATGTCTCCACCGTGGCGAATGCATCGGATTTGAACAGTGATGATGAGATGGAGAGGAATTCTGATAGCGAAGACGACAGTGACAGTGAAAGTGAGGATGAAGATGGTTCTGGATCTCGGAAACGAAGAAGGGTCTCTGAAGAAACAGAAGAAGATCCGGTTAAGCTTTTCAGGAAGCTGAAAAAGGAGTATTACAACATGGGTACCTTCCATGGGAAGCCTTCTGGCCTTCTGATGTTCGATCTATCTCATTCACTTAGAAAGAACACAAATGAATTGCTCTGGCTAGCTTGCGTCTCCTTGACTGATCAGTTCGTCCACGAAAGACTTACCAATGAGAGATACCAAGCTGGGGTTATGGAGCTTGAACAGCACATCAACAGCTCAGGGAATTTGGATGCAATTACTTCTGTGACTCTCAAAGATGGGACCAAGATCCGGGCTCCAGATGCCTCGAGAATTGCATACGAGGATGAGCCAAGGCTGATGTTATTGCGGGAGTGGAACTTGTTTGATTCAATGCTCTGCTCTTCCTACATAGCAACGAAACTGAAGACTTGGAGTGATAATGGGTTGAAGAAGCTCAAGCTTCTTCTAGCCAGGATGGGATTTGCTCTTGTTGACTGCCAACAGAAGTTCCAGTACATGAACATTGAAGTGAAAAGGAAAATGAAAGATGAGTTTGAGCGATTTCTTCCAGAATATGGACTCACAGAGTTTTATTACCGAAGTTTCTTACGATTACATGGGTATAGCTCAAAGGTATCTGCAGCTGATGTCGTTTATGGTGTTACTGCATTGCTTGAATCATTCGTGAAATCCGATGGCTCCTGTGCTTCTGAACAGTTTGGTGTAGCCTATGATGCCTTATCCTTGAGTAATCTTGATAAGCTGAGAACGGGGATGCAGAATGCGATTATGATACAGCGAGCCATCCTAAGACAAGGAAGTGCTGCCATAACTAAGAGCGGTTCCATAAGGAGTGGGAGAAAATTCAGGTGGTTGAAGCTTGAAGATGCTGCTGACACAAAGCTGTTGGGATATCCACAAGCCTTGACCAAATTCTGTTATTTCTTGATGGATGCTCTGCGGGAGAAAGGTGCAAAAATGAAGCCTCTGATCTGTGCTTGCTTAACCCAGGAAGCCAACAAGGTTTTGATTGTTGGGGTATGCGGCAAGCCACGTCTTGGAGCCGTTCAAGGGAATGCATTTGGAGTTGCATTCAGAGCTGCAGCAGAGGAGATTGGAGCAGAGTTCTTCCATGAGTTGTTTGAGTCATCTTGGATAGTCTTGGATGCTGTTGCTGTTAATTCTTTTATGATTAGAATAACTGAGAAACTTTGATGTAAGTGATTTTTTTTCTGTTCTTATGCAAGTATGTAATTGACCACAATACATTGATCTAGTTCCTTGATTTCTCTTAGTTTGTATTTGAAGTGGGAATTCAATTTCTCGTTACTGGTGTAATGTAAGTTATGGCAACAGAAATTAATAACATGGTTGGAACTCCGTTTATCTGACTATCACTAAAATTGGCATTGTCCTCAGATGTTTGTAAATGACAATCCTTTTTTTTATATATGTGAGTTGTCCATTTACAAGATCAATTCTCTCTTCTTGTGTCTGTTAGATGTTTTTGTATTGATAAAATCATAAAATCTACTTCTAGTTTTTTTTTTTTAATTTTGATATCCCAAGTATTAAATGTTTTTTTTTTTTGCTTTAGCTTCAAAACAAAAGATTAGTATCATTTATTATACATTTTAATTAAAGTTTCTTTAATAAAAGTCTTCTGTTATTGGTCAAAAAAAGATTAAAATATCTTAGAAAGATTAAAAATAGAGTTTCCAAATCATTCTGGCCCTCTGTTTGAAATGCACAAAATGTTAGGCTGTGCTTGGATAAGTTTTTACTTAGATGTTTTTTGCTTTGGAAACCAGAGACATGAAGTTAAAGTACTTTGGCATTTGGTTGTGGTTATTTGTTTTTTCAAATAAAAAACATGTAAAGCAAAAGTCACAAAGCATTTGACAACTTTCTTCTTTTTGATAATATGCATTTGAAAATATAAATCCCAAATTCTGCACTTTTTTTTAATCAAACCAAGATCATAGGTTTGAGACACCCAAATTCTAGAATTAGGAAAGAAAAAGTCTATATGCTGGTATGTGGCAATACTTTGCATGACTGAAAAGGGTACATGTGTATGTGCCACACAAATTATAGCATAAAGTATCATGTGCTTCTATGCGATGAATGTAGCAAAATTACCAGGATCTGAAATGGGTATATGTGTATGCGATGGCCAAATTAGAACAGAAGTACACGGATGTAACCAAACGCCCTATAGTGCTTTTCTGTTCTGGAAATCACACTTCCAAAACATGTTTTACCAAGAACTTACACAGTACTGAATACAATGTTTCTGCATTTGAGCTTCAAAAAAATGAAAGTGAAAGCTTATCCAAACACAACCAAAAACTTAACTTTTGGTTATACATTTTCCGTTCTCTACAATGACTACGCCAAATAATTAGCTTATTTTCAAATCCAATAAAACAATGGACCCACGCTACATGCTATTAACCGTCAATCTCTAATCTGATATCATAGCCTCTAGAGACCATCTGCGGAGAAATTTTCTAAATTTTCGTTTTGTTTCAGGTATTAGTCATTAGATGAACTCTTAGAAATACAAAATCTAGGGAAATTCTTGCAAACAAAATTCACTAAACTAAGGCTGTGTTTGGCAAGTCTTTTTGTGATATCTTTCAGGCTTTTCAAGGCTCAAAAAACGGAAAATGCGTCTTCCCCGTTTGGCATTGGGAAGCTGGGTAGACTGAAGCTCGTGGAAGCCCCAAAATGGCTAATTTCGGGAGGCTTAAACATTTGGTTGTTTTTTGATAGGGATCAGATTACTTCCTTCCATTTTCACTTGCAGCAAATTCTGAAGGAGAAAAGGAGAACCGGCCCCCTCCCATTTTTCAACAGGTATAATGCCATTTTTTGACGGGTATCTCCTCCATCCTGTTCATTCTCTCAACATATGATTAACCAACCCCTTTTTCTTTTTGGATCAAGAGAAAAAAAAGAGCTTTTAATCACCAAATACACAGGTACAATTTACGTTCACAGGCTCTAGTTGTGACGATTTCAGTTGAATATTATTTGTTTTCTATAGCCCAATGTGGTTTGCATATACTTGTTATGGTTTAGAGCTTAAGGTTTGTGTTTTCATTTTTGTAGTTTGGGGTTTTATTGGACTTGATTAACAGTTATGCTATCGGTTAATTGCCATTTTTGTCTATTGCTAGGCATTGTTCAGACCACTCTATCAATCTAGCAAAGGTGTAGCTAGAATTCAAGTCTTCCATTCTCATGCTCAAGGCACTTCCGTACTATACACATCTGGCATGATCAGTGCGTAGAACACGGCGAGTTGTTTCTGGTTTTCTTTTATAAATTGGGCAGTTCTGTGTTTCTAGTTCCTATAGCATTCCAAATGACATATTGATCAATGTTTAGAAAAACATGTAATTTTCCAAATGTACATTTTGATGATTTGATCTTTGTTCTTTGGTCTGGTTGGGTTCATAACGAAACGCTAAAATTGTTTGAAATTGAGTGAATTCAACAAGACACCATTATACTATAGATCTAACCTGTAACAGGTTTTTTTCTCATCCGATGTCTCAGATTTCATGACTTCAAGAGGTTAGTGCATTTATCATTTTATAGTGTGATCATAAACCTTTTTCCTGGATCATTTCACCCTTTTCCACCACGATGCTTTTTCAATGGATAAGGAACAAATTTATATAAATAGCATATGTTTTGTGCAAAAAAGTTAGTTTAAATTAATTCCTCATAATATTGGTCCAATGTCTGAAATTGCATTGCAGCATATACAGGTCCCTTCGAGCTCCAAAAATGATAAGTATTTGAACAACTTTGAAGTGATTATACACAGTTGCATTAGACAATATTCAACAACAACAGGTCTCTTGGATGTGGTTAACAGAAATCAATGAAGAAATCTATGATGCAACAAAGGGGACATGAAGTATTAGTCCACATGCTACATGCACATGGTTAGTTGGTCACTAGTGTGAAGGAGAGTGTGAACAGTGGATAAACCAATAAATGGGTCATTAGTTCGAAGAAGAATGTGAACAATGGAGAAGTCTATGTTGCAACAAAGGGGGCATGAAGTATTAGTAGCTGTGGTTTACAACAAAACCAGGTCAAACAGATTAACTTCCACTTTTCATTGAACAAAGTGTAAAAGACCTTAGGCAAATTTGAATCCTTACATTGGGGTTGTTTATGTGTTGGATTGGTTAACCAACTAATTATGTTCTAGATTCGGATTCAATTGTATTTGTATCATGATCTAGGTTTTCACCTGAGTGAATTCCGCCTATTGAACCTGGGGCTGATCACTGTGGAGCTGTAATGTTGGCCCTTGGATTGCAAGTTGCCTTCAGAGTTCTGACTCTATTAACTAGGCTTCAGAACTTGGTCAAATCTCCATGAGTTACAATTCAAAAATTTCCCCAATATTATATTATTAGCAATTTAACCTAATGTTGATTGTGGAGGGTTCATATCCATTATGTAGAATTTTCATTTATTCATTTATTTTGATATTCTAGTGTATTAAAAATATTTTCCTTGATTTTAGACCATTGGATTGCTATTTTCCTTATTTCTAGCTATAAGAAGCCAGGATCAAACATTGAGATAGAAAGCTGTTAGCATCTTTCTATGAATAGCAGGTAAGTTATGCGTTCATATGAAGTTATGCCATAATATTATTTCCTTCTAATGGAAACAAATCAGCTTTTTTAACTAACATAAGAACAAGTTAATGGATAATGGTTAACAATGTTCTATTTTTTTAGGATCAGAATAAATGTTTGTAGTTTTAGGTGATTTCTCAATAAATCAATCAAAGTAATGAACCCGAAACATATTTCATTGGTTTTGTGAGTTGTGACATTAACAGAGGTTTTCAATAGTGATTAGTTTTCAATTGGTTGTTTCTTTGTAGCGATGAGTTACTCTTGTAGTTTTAGGTGCTCTTCGATGCCTGTTGCAAGACAATCATAGAATTATGCCATATGTGCAGGGGGGGGGGGGTGGGAACATTCAATTCTAGTGCAAGTAGGATAAACCAGCTTGTTGGGGCATTTGTTGGGACTAGATTCGAACTCAATAAATGACTAGGATAAACCAAGGTTCAAAGTATCAACACATATCGGCCCATATCAGCCAATTTTAGGGTTCAAAGTATTGATACATATTATGTCGGTGGCTTCTTGTAGGGGCGTATCGGGGTTCTAACCGGTTCAGGGGGTAGAGAAGCCTCAAATCGGCTCTCTTGAACCGGTTTTGAAAAAAATAATAAAAAAAAAAGAAACACTATTGATATCGCCCGATATGCCCCTACTGGCATATCAAGTGTATCGATATTTTGAACTTTGCAATTTGTATCATTTCGGAAGCACCCCCAATACACCGCTATAGAGGGTGTATCGGGGTTCTGACCGGTTCAGGGGGTGGAGTTTTAAACCAGCCCCCTGAAACAGTTTTGAAAAAAAAAAGTAAAAAATGTACTGATATGCACCTACCGGCGTATTGGGCGTATCAATATTTAGAACCTTGGGATAAACTAAACATACGCACGCAAGAGAGCAGCTTATCCAAGGCAGTTGGCGCAAGTTATTGTAAAGACTTGGTATTGTGTTTATCTTAGGGGTTATAGCAGTTAAGGCAACTTTTGGCCCTTAATATCAATAAAAGTAATATATTTAAAAATAAATAAAAAATGGATTAACTTTTTAAAAATAATATTAGTTAAGGGAAAAAACATTGTTCATCTTCTTCCTCTTGCAATCCATTCACCAGTGTCGCCGCTCGCCGTTGCCTGCCGTTGCTTCCAACAACGCCTCCGCCCATCTCTGCCACCTCCACCTCCGCCTCAGACAACGTTGCCAGAGGTGAGCGGAGGCAGAGGCTGCGGCAGCGCTGGGGTCATTCCTCTGCCCAACGCCACCACCTCCGCCCACCTCCGCCTCCGTCTCCGGCAACATTGCCAGAGATGGAGGCGGAGGTGTTGCCGGAAGCGGTGGACGGCTGTTACAGTCTGACACAGGCTTAGCCTTGCCTACGCTTGGCAGGCTTATGTTAAGGGACATCACCGTCATTTTCGCCTGTAAGATTTTTGGGAGAATTGATGTCATCTTCAGGCAGACCATCAAAAGCTTAACGTATTCTTTGAGGAGGGGTGGTCGACCTCCTTGGGTGCCTAACCTTAGCACTCCTAGACCAACTTCCCTTGCAGGGCGGCCCTGGTTAATGGCTAGCATGGCTACCAGGGTTCCTCATGGGCGCACACTTGCTCATGGGGATAGTGCATGGACCGGCACTGCGCTACCGACACTCAAGGGAGGCTTGGCATGCGAGCCTGGCTCAAGCATGACCCTTCACCACACTAGCCCCTTGCCCAATCTGAGTGAGCTACCCTGTTGCCTCTAGCGCACAGGTGTGTTCCGGCCCAAGTGGTTGCCTCTCAACATGGCACACCGGTGCCCATCATCATCGGCATACAGGAGACCCTTCACATTGGTGCCAAGTCACCTCTTCGGCACACAGTCGCCTCACATCATGGCCATCCCCCTTTAGCACGTAAGTGGCGCCTCCCATGGACCGGCCAGAGCCAGCCGAGTGCCCCGGCCATGCGATTAGAGGTCATGATCCAGTGCTACTGACCTTGGTGGAGCCATCTCATCGGGCAACTCCTAGCCTCCAAGCACACAAAGGCTTGTCCTGGACGCCGCATGGGTTTCTTCCGCTGTAGAACTACCCTCGTGACATGGCGACGCCGGTGAATGGATTGCAAGAGGAAAAAGATGAATAGTGTTTTTGCCCTTAACTGATATTATTTTTAAAAAGTTAACCCATTTTTGAAAATTTTTTAAATATATTACTTTTATTGATATTAAGGGCCAAAAGTTGCCCTTAATTGCTATAACCCCTTTATCTTACCTCCGACTGTGATAAGGACGTCTTGTTGATCTCTAAATATATTTTACAGATTGTAGTTGGTCACAATGTGATTTTTAATCACATCAGTGGGAGGGCAACTGCATTTCGTGGCTGAATCCAAATTTTCTCCTCAGAGAACGGCCTTGACACCCATTTCACAGCACTTGCAGCCATGCATTAAAAACATCACCCCATCAACGAAAACATACAGGTACTAGGAGATGTAGATGTTCCCAATGTATAACCGCAACTGTAGATGCAAACGGATCAGATTGAATTCAAATCAAGGTATATCTCAATCTGATCTAATAGTAGAATCTGAATCCAATCCGATCTGATTTGAATTATGAAAAATTTAATAAATTATTAAAAGAAAAAACATAAAAAATTATATAAAAAATAAAAAATATAAATATTTATTCAACTATTTTCATATATATATTAATATATACATGTCCTTTATAAAAAAGTTTACAAAAAATGCAATATAAATATATTTATTAATAAAAACATTAATATATGTCTTTTTATAAATATATAGATCGGATTGAATAGGGTGAATTGAATCCAATCCAATCCGAAAATCTAACAAAAGGCTATCCAAATCCGACAAAATAGGACCAGATTTTCGGATCATGATCCGATCCATCTGCACCCCTAGCAATGAGATGGATGAGGAGGATTCTGCAAGGAGGAAATCAGGTCTCTTGGTGGCTTCTCTCTCCTCCGTGTTGGGCGCCACCTCTTCCATCCATTGTAGCCCCTCTTGGGAGGTAAGTCGAGATCTCATAGGTCTGTTGATTTCTGTTGTCTGTTCTTTTTAGTCTTGCTGTCCGTTTGTCTGCAGTAGTATCCTGTATGCCTTGCTCTATCTCAGTAATGAAATTTCCTGTTACCAAAAAAAAAAAAATCCCAATGTACACATCTGTATTCAAAGCTTATTTGGCCTATTTAGAAATAAGCTTTCAATTCACCTTTTCAACTTTGAAACCCTATAAAAGTTCTCACCCAAAAAAAAAAAAACTTACAAAAGAAAAAACTATGAAACCCTAAATAGGCACATGTCCATACATTCATTGTGGTTATTTGTGGTTAAACCCAAAAATCATAAACATCTGGTGCACGGTTCTGTCCAATTAACATGATCGCATCAAAATTTGTCAATTTACCACGCCCCAGCAGTGCTAATATACAAGTGAAATGAATAAATACAATCAATATTTCCCTAAAAAGAATTTTGAATTACTCTGCAAAATTTGTTCTTTTCTTTTATAACTATGCAAAATTTGTTCTGGTGGTAGTGGTCTAGTATGAAGGTAGTCAATATGAAGACCAAAACAAAATGATCACTCCCTTTCGACATCCAAAAAATCGCTTCTGCTTCTGTTAAATAGGCCGGCTACAGTGCAGCACTGACGGTCCACAAAAAAAATGCACATAGGGACCACAAACATCAAAATCTTCGGTTCAACTGCTCTTAAGCTGCTCTGAAGCTCTGGGACAAAACCTCATAAAACCTCTTTTGCTGCGTTCAAGAAAGAGTAAAAAGGGAGGAAAAAAGAAAAACAAAGAAAAAGAATTTAGAATAAGAAGAATCAAAGCTTCCATAAAATCCACGCACTTTGGAGGCATAGCTAGCAGGCAAAATAAGATAATTCATCATACCTCCTGCGAGACAGATGGAGATATTTTCTTTAATGCATACTCAAAATGAGCTGACTTAATGGTCCATGTCTTTGCATCTGAGCTGCACTGGCCTAACGTCTGTTTCTCTTCCAGAGCAGCCATGGCAGCTTCGTTCATCTAGCAGAAGATAAAAGAGAAAACATTAGTTAGGTAAGGCCAAACAAACACTTCTCCAATTCCAATTTAAAAAATTATCTGGACCAGAAATTTTAGAGCAATATTATACAAACCACTGCAGCAAGATCTGCCCCACTGAGATTTTCACAAGTCTCCTGTCGCCCTATAGCAAGCAAATCCACATCAGCATCAACAGGCTTTTTCCGAGCAAGAGCTTTTAAAATTAGTCCTCGTTCATCAGGATCAGGCAGAGGGACATAAAGAAGCTTCCCAAACCTCCCAGGACGTAAGACAGCACGGTCCATCACCTCAGGTCTGTGAACAATGTCATGGAATATCAGGAGGGCATAGTAGAGATTGTGTAGTTGTCTATGTTGAGAAAACGAATTATGAGTGGTACCTGTTTGTCGCACCAATTACAAAAACACCCCGTCGCTGATCAGCACCATCTAGCTCAATGAGCAGCTACAGTTAAGCAGTTCACCCAATTTTAGACCAAGATACGTTAACACATAAGATAATGAACAGAACTGAAGATCAATAAACCTGGTTCAACAGCCGTTCAACAACCCATCCCCCTTCCTTTCCGCGTATAGTTGTCAAAGCATCAACCTGCAAAAGTGAAGGGCTCCAAAATTTAAACATATTAAGCAAGACATTGGTGTAAGAATGAATTAAGACTTCAAATAAATGTTCAAGAGTAACCAGCAACCAGGTGTCCTAAGGCCCTGAAAAAATTAAGGGTAGAGAATATTTGTTTGTAGGAATAGAAAGGGAATGGTTATCCTTGCCATTTCAGGGCCAGGATGTCTGAGGGTTGTTTTGGAGGAAGGGCCCAAAATCATATTCATGGCTGAGAAGCTCACTAGAGGGTGCATGTTTAGTGGCCAGATGAAATTAGGTGCTTAAAATTTAGGTGGTTGATTAAAAAAGAGGAATACCCATTATAATGAAGATAAATTAATAGTGGAAGAGCAATGGAAACCAAAGGAAGAAGTTAATGATTTAGTTTAAGGTGAGTGAGAACAAAGTTCCAACTTTCCACAGAATCAAGGATGAAAGGACAAGCATTTAAAGAGAGTTGATGATGGCTACTGGAAGTGAATGCTGGTTGGAGATTGGAGTTGGAGTTCAGGATTAGGAAACAAATACTTTGGCCTGTGAGAAGGGATGGCTCTTTTATTCATCCTTCACCGGTGTTTAGTGGGAAGATTTTTAAACTCAGACCCTAAAACCATGGAGGTGGAGAGATGGGCGAAATCAAAATGGGTACCTTGCAAGCAAGAAAACTGGGTGCAAGCGTATTCCTATTCAGTTTCAAAAATAGGGCGGAAGTTATCCATCAAAAAACAAAAGGTGGATGCTGAAAAGGTTTTAGAATGAGAAAAGATGGAGATCTCGAGATGCCGTTAACTAAGATTGGATAAATGGTATCGAAGAGTGGGCAAATCGCAAAACACAAAACTTATGTTTGGATTGAAGTTTTTGGGATACCTCTTCATGCATGGAGTACCCAGACATTCAAAGAAATAGGAAATGCATGTGGCAGATTTAAAAGATTTGATTTCCACAACAGGCCTTGGGAACAAGTCCAATTAGCAAGAATCTTGATAGAAACAGAGGATCCCAGCTCTGTTCCAACTTTACTTGATTTGATCTATGTGGAAGAGGCATGAGTTGAGGATTGTGATAGGTTGCTGTGATCCATCATTTAATAGATAACCAGATTGACACGGAAAAAAAAGAGATGGAGGCTGAGAAGAAGACTAAGGTTTCACAGGGGCTCAAAGAATCTGAAAAGTCGAAGTCAATAGGGAAGGAGGAAGACGAAGGTTTGGGGAAGAACAACCGAATAGAAGTTTTTGTGACAGATAGGGGCAATGAAGGAAAATCAGGATTCTTAAATCCAAGTGGACTTGGATCGAAGACCAATGGTGTTGGACCGAGCAACATTTCTAAGTTATGTGGGCCCATCATTAATTTAAATTGGGCTGGGCCAAACTCATCAAAAGAAAATGTTTGGGCCAAAGCCGCAAGTGGAGGATGACCTGATAGAAGAAAAGGAAAGGGGCTAAAGGTTTTGAGGGCTCCAACAGGTCAGAACACAGAGATCAGAGGGAAGGGCGACTGCATCTGGTTTATCACTCAATACAAGTATAACCAGGATGAAGTGACTTGAGAAAATTGCAATGAAAAGGAGACTGATGATAAGAGGGTCCAGCATTGGGTGGATAGTGACAGTGAGAAGGAGATCAAGGATGACGAACAATGACAAGAAAAGGATATTCGAATTGATGATAGTAGGGAAGAAGACGACAACAGTGGTGCCATTGTTTAAAGGGATGGTGGAAACGGAAGGATGGTGTAGGATCTAGGAATTGAAAAGGAGTTGATTGACATGATTTTAGAATTTTAGTCATTCCTCTTTCCGATGACTACAAAGGTGAGGGTGTCCAACTTTATATATTTTGGAACTAATAACAGACATAAATCAGGAGAGGGGGAGGTTGCAAATATTATAGATCATGATCAAGAAGTGTTACTGGGTGTGGGTCATGTCAATAGAGAAACACAGTTTTCTGAAGCAGAAGAAAGAATTGAAACTGAAGATGAAGTGGACAAGGTTAGTGTTCGGGTGATTGACGAAACTGAAGGAAGTTTAACAGTAGGTAATAGTGGGTTTGAAGATTGGGTTTGAAGATGGAGTGGGGAACTGCAATGATGGATTAGAAGAAAGGATTGAGGAACATGCTGAAAGCAAGGAAGGGAATGATAAGAGTAAAGAGGAGTTAGAAGGGTAGAAGTTGGGAGGGGAGGAGACTGTAAAAGAGAAAGAAGTGCTAGATGTGGAAGGTCCAAGGGTGTACAAGAGGAAAAGAAATTATAGGACAAATTGATTATCAAAGGGGATTTGAAGGTAGTTGTGGGATGGCTGAAAAAAGGAGAGGGTGCAACTTGACAGCTAACAAATGATTTTCGTATATTTCTGTGGCTGTCAAAAGACATGAACAGTACGATGGGTTAGAAGGTTTGCAAACAGCCTGGCAGACAAATTAGCCAAGCAAGGCATTCAAAGACAGTTTATGTATTGGGCTCAATTGTAATATGGGTTGGGTGGCTTGCCTTGTATTAGGCATGCTTATTGTTCACAACTCCTTGTTGTATCTACTTCCTTTAATCATTAATAAATCTCTTCTTTGTGGTTGCTGATCACAAAAAGAAAGCAACTCACTTGAATAATATATCTGGGAAAGATTGTAAGCACTGAAGTATTGGGACTTTGATTCGTAGGAGGAGAGGATCATGCTAGGAAGACTGTCAAAAAACTGGAAGAAAAATGTGCAATGCCTGTGAGGAAGTCTGTTGTGGGTTCAGAGGAAATTATTTCTAGGGTTGAAGACAATCTTGAAGACTAGAGATTAGTTGGACTTGAAGGAGCTACCAATGGAATTGATAAAGGTTTGGGTGCAGATCGACTGTTTAAGAAGAACCAGGTGCTGGAGCTGGAAAGAATTAACGAGGAATCTAAGATTTCAATAGAGTTCAAGGAAGCTACTTTTTCTGTTAGAAGATTCGGAAGTCAAAGAAAGCATAAAAATAGTTTGGTGTCAAAAGTTTTTGCTAGATTAAAAGGTGGTTTTTTTGGGATTGAGCCAAACAACGACGTGTTGAAACTTAGGAAAGTATTAAAGTAGAGAGTTTTTGGTCCTTTTTGTTTCATTTTTGGGATGCTAGATGGTTGGTTTTTTTATCAGAAGTGTTCTATGTATTTCCTTCTTAGTGGGGTTGGTCTTGTTTTGTTTGAGATTGCTGTTTCAAAGATTGTTTGATCAAGTGGTAGGTTGTTTGGGTTTGGTGGTTGTTGATATGTTAGTGGTTGGAGAATTTGTTTTTGGGTTTTGTTCTTGCTGGATTGGTTTTTAGTTAAGGACTTAGGAGTGGGTGGGAATGGGAGTATTTGTTCTTTATCTCTCTTAGGTGACTTCTGGTCACCTTCCGTGTAATCTTCTTTTGTCTTTTAATGAATTTTATTTTATTACCAAAAAGGATTTTAAGAGAGTTGCTAGTGGAATGAAAAGATTCAAAAGTCCCTACTACAAATTGATCCTGTTGAAAAGCTTGACAATGAATAAAAATGTGAACATGTAAATGTATAGAAATGCCAAAAGATAAGTTCAAGAAGCAATAGTGAAAATAAGATTGAGGCATATGAGTTCAGGCTCAGCATAAGCTAGATATGGGGGGAAGGTGGAGAAGGAGACATCAGGCATTTTCATGGAATTAAAGTTCCTGAGGTTAAAGAGAACAAGGTTTTAAAAACCGACCCGGAAACAGAACTGTTTTGTCCACCAGTTTCCAGGTCAGCGGTTCGACTGTCCAGTTCAAACAGTTTAAAGACATTAACAGGTGATATGTCATCTTACCCATTAGATTGGAATATTAGGGTAAGATGCATATAAATATCAAGAGAAATAAGGTTTGAGAATGAGTGAGATTTGAGAAGCTGTCAGCTGAGAGAGTTTAGAAGAGAAAGAAGAGAGAGAAGAAGAAGAAGAAGAAGAAGAAGAAGAAGAAGAAGAAGAAGGAAGAGGAGGTCACTTGCAGCGGCGACGACGACAGTGACCTGACCTAAAGCAGCGGCGATGGTGGCGAACTGATGATGAAAGTAGATCTGAGATTTCTCCCTCTCAGATCTGTCATCTAGGCTGCTCTCCCAGATCTCTAAACCTGAGATCTCTCAGATCTCTCTCACACATCTCTCAACTGATCTCTCTCTCTCTCTCTAGTAGATCTCAGATCTGAGAGATCTCTCTTTTCATTCTTGTTGTCATAAGTAATAAACTGCAAACCGTTGTCTGAGTCAAACGGTTCAGTGGTCAAATCATTTGGGTCAATGGTTCATTGACTAATTCAACTGTTTTTTACCAGGGACCGGGTTTGGGGTAAAACAGAACCGGTCACCTGGACGGTTTCCGGTCTGAACAGTCCGACCGTCCGGGTCAACGATGGTTAGAAAACATTGAAAGAGAACCTAGATAAGGAGGGAAAGACTTTAGGACATGGGCAGGCTGCTAGTTAGGGTGCTTATAGTATATATAGTTTGAGGTCCTAGACATTTTGTGTTCTCTAGTTAGGATGCTTATGTTTCTTTGTTGTCCTTCTCTCATTTATTTCTTTGTCTTCCTCTTCTTTCTTATCGTATACTTATACAAGATTGATCACTTTAACCCTTTGAAACAGTTACATGTAATTCTATATGGATGATCTTTACATAATATAATATAATTCTGTTATTAATTAAAACAAATAGGAGATGAAAAGAAAACCTAATAAATAAAGTAAGAAAATCACGATTCCCATATATAAGAGAAGAAGTGCAAAGTTGCAATAATTACTGTGGGAACAAGTTTTGAACCAAGCAATAAAGGCCATAAAGGGTAAAAAACTGCATACCTCATCAAAGAAAAGTATGCATGGAGAGCATGTTCTTGCACGACTGAAAATTGTTCGAACTGCCAACTCGCTTTCTCCAACATATTTATTCAGAAGTTCAGGGCCCTGAAAATAAAAATCAGTAAAGCATCAACCAATTTTCAACACTTAAATGTAATCATATAAAAAACAAAAAGCTACTAGTTTGTTTATCAAGAAAAAAAAGAAACAAACAAACAAAAAGCTACTGAATACACAGAATGACAGCGAGAATTATGAATAGGATAAAAATAAAGTCAGCACAAACCTTAATGTGTATGAAATTTGCTCCTGCTTCATTTGCCACAGCCTTAGCAATCAGTGTTTTACCACAACCCGGAGGTCCATAAAGCAAAAATCCTGTCTCCATATCCACTCCAAATTCCTGAAGAGACAAACAGAAGTTAAAACTTGGATCGGAAATATTCCCTACATTTCCCAACTAGATAGCACTTTTGACAACTTTTTTTGATAGATAATATATCACATTTCACTAAAACCAAGAGAAAATTACAGACCCTTGGGAAGGCACGAGATGCTGCCTCTCCAAAACAAGGAGCCCAAAAAACACAAAAACCATAAGAACTATGCAAAGAGTACATGGTGCTACTACAAGATTATAGTTTAGTTTAGCCCAAAACAGTGTTTCCCTATTACACTTTTGACATTTTTTCTGATAGGTACTTTTGAGTTTTGACAATTAAATTGATTAGAAAAGAATATCTGAAACCAAGAAGGCTTCTTAGCTGAAACCGTCAGCAAAATGTCAATATGAAAAAAGTAAAAGTAAAATGGACATAGAGGAAGCAGAAGCCTTAGCCTTTCACAGGCAATAATTTTAGAAAGTTGTGCTACTGTTTTATAACAAAAATTTCATCTCACATGTTAAAAATCAAAATAACCAGTTCTCAACAAGTTGATGAAACAGAAAAAATGCAGCCTTTTTGAATCAGAAAAATTGGTTTACTCAGCTGATTTTCAAACTTGAAACTCCTTAAATGTGGAAAAATCATACTTAGAAGTCCATAGATTAATCTATCTTTATTTTTCCCATATAATTTAAATTTTATGGATCTAAAAGAAATTCATCAGAAACAATGAATTCTTGACATAATACAAATATGTATTGTGCATCCAAAGGGGAATTATCAACTAGAGCACCTGTAAAAAAGTGTAATATATATAAACTAGAGCACCCTGATCTTGCCCTTACGAAGGAAAGACAATTTTTATGATCAATAAAGAAACGAAGGAAAGACAATCATAATAGTTACCTCATAATCTTCAGGGTGTTTTATACGCCTAACAATATAACGGTCAAATTCCTTCCTTAACAAGTCAAGTCCTCCAACATCCCCCCACTTAACATTAGGAATTGCAGAGAATCCTTCCCTTCTTGAAGAGGGTTGAACCATCTTAGCTGCTTCCTGCAAAAACACAAGCAAGAAAAGAATTGGCACTATCAACCTATGTTTGTTTCTTTCATCACTACCACCATTATTCTATCAATTAACCACTGCAAACTTTTATATCAGTCAGAGAAATCATATCATATCCAGAGATCTCTTACAAGGAGATGCAATTAGCTCATTCAGTTGTAGTAAAATGAATACCAGGAATTAAAGTGCATGCATCTGAGTCCACCCAGTTTTATAAAGGAACATTAAAACGTGGAGAACAAAAGTTGCATGCTATATCACCCAAAAAAATTGTGCAACATATATGACATGCATGTGACCATGCATTTCAGTGCATTACAACTCTTCTGGAGCCCATATATAATTGTATGTTTTTTTTTTCAGATTACCTCAAAATCAGCCATAGTGATACTAAGCATTTCCATTTCTTCTGGAGCCCATGGTTGCCTCCACCATTCCTCAGCATGTTCCCCATCTTTAGGTTCTCTAGAGAGTTCTGACTTCCTTCTATCTATAATTCTTTTCATGGCAAGGTTACCAGCCTTGTTGGCAAGTGCTGCCAAGTCTGCTCCAACAAACCCTGGTGTAGACCTGGCAATTTTTGCAAGATCAAACATACCCTCAAGTTTAAGATTCTGTGTAAGCACCGACAAGATCTCCATCCGTGCATTTTCATCTGGAACACCCAAAACAATCTCCCGATCAAATCTCCCAGGCCTCCTTAGGGCAGGATCTACTGCATCAGGTCTATTTGTAGCACCAATTACAAGAACATAGCCAGGCCTACAATCAGATGATTCTGAATCCAAATCTACATCAGCTGTCCCTATAACTTGGTGTGATTCATCCATACAAGTCATTAGCTGTGTCACAATTCGACGCTCCATCTCCCTCTGTAGATTTTCTCGTTTTGAAGCAATGGCATCAATCTCATCAATGAATACAATGGATGGAGCAGTCCTGTATGCTTTTGAGAAAAGATCGCGTATGTTCTCCTCAGATGCACCTGATGAATATAATAAAATCAAGGAAAAGATTAAAGAAATTACAGAAAATATAAGCTTCTATTCTAAAGCACGAAAGCCTTTGATTTTCAAAACAGACATTAGGCAACAAGAGCATTTCAAAGGAGAGAAAAGATCCACAGTAATGGCTAAAGCATAAAACAGAAAGCTGGGGCCAAATGATTATAAAAATTTATTCAAGAGAATTGCTTTTTAATAAACCACACAATCAAAGAAATTGTCTTGATAATAAGAGAGAAAACACTGGTTGTTGATATTAACAGCAAGGAACATAGCCAATTGCAAACAGCAAAAAGTTGACACAAACATTGGCAATCACTGAACTCTTTTTGATAAGTAATGAAGTTTTATTGAAGAAAGATAAAGTGTTACAAAAAAGTATTACAATAATGCAATCCAACAGAGGCGTGAGGTGCAACCCCCATTACCAAAAAGACTTACAACTGAGCCAGAAAATGTTTAGACTTATGCACCCCTAGTTTTGCAAAATAATCAGCCACCCTATTTGCTGACCTCCTTTCCCATTGGATTATAACAGTCATCTCTAATAAACCATTTAAATCTTTTTAATGGTTCCCTATACTTCCAAATCACTATTTCTGGTTCCTTCAGCCACCATGTTACCAATTTAGAGTCACCTTCAATCACCAATCTGTCAAAGTTTAGATCTCTAGCAATTTGTAATTGTAACCCTTGCAAGACAGTTTGGAAATCAGCATGCATCGCATCCCCGACACCACAGGGCCTGAAAATACAGCAAGAATGTGTCCACCAGAGTTTCTAAAAGCTCCTCCTATGCTAGCTGGCCCTGGGTTGCCAATTGCCTAGACTGTTGCCATCGAAATTTAGCTTGATACAACCTTCTTTCAGACCAATCTGCAACTGGCTTGTCCCTCACAGTAGAACTTCTTGCTACAGTATCCCAATTCCTCCAAAGATCATTAAAGGAGAACTCTGAAAATATGTCCAAGGATTTTGCCTAATGTATAGCCCTATTTACTATACTGAACTTTTCATAATCCCTTGGCAGCATCAGAACATGATGAAGGAAATACAGGATTTGGAGAAGGGAACTACAGAATGCAAATGGATAGATGGATCAGCCAATAGCATGGCCAATGCATTGTCAAGATAAGGTGTAAATAGAGATAAGGCGTTCTTAGGGATATGTAATGAGCTTGGAAGGTAAGACTAAAGAGTAGTCAATATGCCAGCCTAAATAGAAAGGTCATTGTTATGTACTAGACCTATTTAGGGATTCTCATCACAAGTCCTGTCCAATCTATGAGAAATTAAAACTTTTTTAATCAATAAGCAACCGTTTTACTAAAGTGTTAATGCACAAATGTACATTCACGTTTTGGAGAGATAAAAAGCTTTTAACCCAGCTCATTCTTTTTTTACAAAAAAAAAAAAAAAAGATAACATTCTATATGATGGAATTTCTAAAGGTGGGTATAACTTGATTGTACTGTTTGGTTGGGATAAGCAATAAGAACCACACATAATAAAACAGACAACATAACGTGTTCAACTTCCAAGGAAAATAATAACGCTATGCAGACTAAATATGGAGTTCAGAAACCTTATATCCAATTTCCTGCTATGGCCTTCAATGTAGACACTGACCAAACAAAGGAATAAATCTTGTGAAGCATAGAAAGTAAGAGAAGTTTCACACTGTCACTATAACTACAGTTGATGTTTGAATTGACTATTTAAGGATTTAGAAGCAACATGGAATGAAACATTTAAAACATTTCATTCTTGTGGACCTTATCACTTTGAAAGCTCTTTTTTCATCTAATATGAATTCATTACCAGAATGCAAATAAAAGTTAAGAGCAAATCCAATTCTTGATATTCAAATATGGATTCATCTCTATTTTCTTTTTCTTACATCAATGAAACGAATTAATTCTATATAATGAGTTCCCAATCTTTGACAGAAACTTATTCGAATCATTTCGTTATACTTAAATTCACCTCGTGACTTTAAACGCAAAGCATTCAACATAAGCAAATGAAACAAAAAAGAAAAAAAATACAAAAAAAAAAAAATAGTACCCGAAACGCCAGAGACCACTTCAGTAGCTGATATCTTGTAAAATGGAACTCCGGTCTCATTAGCAATGGCATGAGCAAGCTTCGTCTTTCCACATCCAGGTGGCCCGTGCAGCAAAATCCCAGCCATGGGCCTCACTCCCAACCACCGAGGCAGCTGCGGATGGTAAAGCGGAATAATCACCTCCATCATCAGTTCATCCAAAACCCCTTTTATCCCACCAAGATCCTTAAACCTCGGTCCGTCCTTCCTCTTCACCTCACTACCATCTTCCCCTCTCAACTCCCTCTCACGAGAACCTTTTAGCTCCGTTGTCAATTTCTTTTGCCCCAGCCTCTCTCCCGTGTTTCCTTCAACCATTTCAATCTTCTTGGCCTTATTAACAACTTCCACCTCCAAATTCTTTTCCTCAACCTTCGTCTCCACTTTCTTTGACGCACTGTAACTCGACCGTAGCATCGACTTCATCAAATCGAACTCTGGCTCCACCTTCTCTTCATAAATCGCGTCTTCCGACGTCGATACAGCACCATCCTTTTCATCGTCCGACGAAGACGAGTCCGAAGAAGATGATGAAGACGACGACGTAGATGCACGTAGATCCTGCGCTTGATTCTGTTTCCTTCTGACATATTCAGTCTCCGTTCGGAGCAGTCTCTCTTCTCTATAATCGATCTTCTTGAGCTTCTTACGAGCAGGGCTTTGGGAAGGAGCAGCATTGGTGTCGTCGTCGTCGTCGATTCCATTTGAGGTTGAAGCAGAGAGCTTTTTTCGTTGCTGGAACTCTAGGGTCTGTTGGACATATTTGGAGAAGGGTTGTTGCTTGATTCGTCTGTAATCAGGGTAGTTCGAGCGGAGGTAGTCGACGATTTCATCGAAGGTGGACTTGTTCTTGCAGGACTCAAGACGGCGAAGGATAACAGAGCGGTCTAAGACGGACGGAGAACGTCCGCCGAACGACCTCCTCCCCATCTCGGTTTCTCTTTCGAGTTCGAGCGCAGGAGAGAGAGAGAGAGAGAGACGGCGGCTCAAAAAGAAGGGGATTGAAGTTGAGGAGGGAAGGCTTGGCCTGAATTCCGGCTCATCCCATCCGGTCGAACTTGGGTCGGCAGACGGCAGTAAAGAGTCAACAACATCAATCACAATATCTGGAGTTCCGGACTCCAGATACCAGATTTATGTAATGTGTCGGGTTTGATTCGGATTTGTCATATCCAGAACCCGAAACCCAATCGCCGTATATTACGTAGGGGACGCTAGGGGTCATGTTGAACCGGGTTAGGTCGGGTTGACGCAACCCTAACCAATCCGAGTTGTTGAAACCCCCAACTGGCCAACCCTCTAAAACTTTGGGTTGGGTTAGGGTCAGGATGGGTTCGGGTTAGCCCAGTTCCTCTACTTCCTTTTGCCAAATCGCAAATGTCCTTCGGATCTTGGGGGTTGTTTGGAGGGCCTTTTTCGATGTATATTTCGGTTTGGAGGAAGTTTAAAAGACAGGTCTCGTTTGGCCATTTTTTCATGCCTGTTGGTTTTTTAGAAGTCTCGCAGCCCGTATTTTGGTGTTTTCCATTTAGTTGGAAAAAGATATAGAAAAAATCATAGCCCCAAAAAGATATGAGAAGCTTGTTTCAAGCTATTTTTGGGAAGCTCCAAATAGAGATTTTCACTTTTTTTTTTCAACTCGTCTTTGCATAAAAAGACGTGCCTTAACCAAACGGTTTTCAAGCTGTTAAGATATAAATGCAAAGCTCACATCACCTTTTGGTTGTCAAGTCTATCGGAAGATCTTCTAAAAACGACTTTTCCCATTTAGTATTGTGTAGACCAAAAGATCCAAAGATGATTGTGCAGAAGGATTGAAAAGGTCGAAAATCAAAATGCTTCCGATGAAACTTTTGGTCTTTTTGTGCTAAAAATAGCCTTCCCAACTGTTTTTGACAACCTAGTAGACTACAAACCAAACAATCTTGATCTTTAAGAGAAGACCCCCAAAACTCTCTCATCTATTGGGTTGTTGAAAGATCTACTTTAAGAGTTCATGTTAATTCAACATTAGCATTAGGAAAAATTACAAATCACTACCCTGTACTTTGGCTCAAGTGACAATTTGGTACACGAATTTTAAAATGCGACAATCCAGTACCCAAACTTTCAAAATGTGATAATCCAGTACCTGTCATTAACCAGTCCGTTAATTAGCCGTTAAGTGACATTTGAAAAGTCAAAATTGCCCTTCGAATGCCATCTAATTCTCTTTATCAATCATCAAAACGTTGACAAAAAACTAAACAATTCCAAATCCTAGCCACTTCTATTCAAAAATGTTGGTGACTATTTAGAAGAATTTAGAATTTGGGTTGATAAAGAGAATTAGATGGCATTGTTAGGGCATTTTTGACTTTTCAAATGTCACTTAATGGCTGATTAACGGACTGGTTAACAGTAGGTACTAGATTGTCACATTTACTGATCCGGAATTTTCCCTTTATTATGTGTAAAAGAGCATAATTTTCTTGTTTTAGAAAAGAAAATTTGGCTTTAAACTTAATTTTTTTTATATATACAATATACGCATTCATGTATAGATAAAAAAATATCCATACATACATACATACATGCATGCGTGCATGCATGTATGAACAATGAATACACATAGACATAAGTATTAATATGTATAAATACACATTTTCAACATGTAAATATGAGGTTAAATCAAATTTGGGTTAGTCAATGCCTCAACCCTAACCTAACCTAGAGTTGAGTTGGGTTCATACTTTTCTTCCGTAACCCTAACCCAAACTTCAATCCACACCCTATTTTTTGGGGGTGGGTTTAAGTTGACCAATCCAAGTTGTAGTCCTATATATATGGCTTAAATCAGTGAATTGTTTTCTTTTTTTCAATGTTTTTGAAACCGATTCAAAGGTTGAACCATTTTCCCTCTTGGTTGTGGGTCAACGGTGTTTGAGTTATGGTTGAGCTGGCTCTGGGTGCCACGTGTCACCTCTGCGGCTGCCTTATCGCTTCGATCACGTCTACATCACATCATCGGATAAGCGCGACCAAGATAGGAGAGTGTCGTATGGATAAGGAGGACAGTCCCAATGGAGAGTAGGTCTTATCTCGAAGACCTCAACGGACAATATCATCCCAACAATCCCGAAGGCCTCATCCGAATCGAACACGGATCTTTGACTATAAGTAAGTAATCTCCGCTCAAGGTAGATGACTTTTGACTTTTTCGCACCCATACTGTTACTCTGCTTAGACCAGCATTGCTTTCTCAATTGCTCGGCCCGACCACCCATTCTTCTTATTGACTTGAGCGTCGGAGTGCCTACCCGGGGAATAACTCCTCGGGCCTCTGACTTTGTTCTTGGTTTCAGATTTTGCTGCGCCACTTTATCCTTCCACTTCGACTTCGTCCAATTGGTAGGATTATTTGACTGCGACCTCGATTCAAAACACCTCGGATCAAACAACATCAAGTGGTTCAATAAATAATATATGATTAATATATGTATTATATATGTGTGTAATATGTTTTATTTTAGGTATAATTTATATTTTTATTTTCTATAAATAAAAAACTAAAAATTGAGTTTTAAAAGGCAAGAAAAGGTGTTTTCTAGAAAAAAATAGCGGGGCATGCCCTAGGGACAAAATAAAAAAAAAATCATTTCAATAACAATTGAATGCAAAGTTATGGCCGGAGATTTGTCTCGCAATGTTGTTTCGAAACAAGGAAGAAACATGAATTTCGCTAATAACCTTTCTTATATGCTTTTGATCTTGTTTCAGTTTTTAAGCATGGCATTATTCAGTTGTCGAGAAAGTATGAGTGGGAATGGGAAGACATTTTCGTATTGGGTGAAATTTGGAGCTAACGGCTAACGTCGTCCCGTTAGCTTCAAGATGATAGGTGGCGGGCTTCCATTGTGTGGGGCGCATATTTAAACTCATGGTTTTGAGAGTTCGATCCAAGTTGTTTAGAGAGTTTTCCATCACTCTAATCACCAGTTTTTGATTCATTGGTGATAACTAGGGTCCATTTTTTTCCTCCATTTTTTATAGTCTTCTAGTGGAGATTCAAGTTCTTTCATTTTCCTTCTTGTTTTCTGAGGGATTCTAGGTTTGATGTAAGAGATGATTTCATTTTTTTTAGATCTGTTTTTTCATTTTCCTTCTGTTTTGGTACTTCACATCTGATTTTACAGACCTGGTTAGATTGCTCGGTTTTCATTTTCCTTCTTGTTTCCGGTGAATAATGTGGAGAGATCAAGAGAAGCCAACCTCGTCAATTGTGAGATTTCACTTGGAATTTGACCCGCAAAGCCTGAATTGGAAAGATTGAGATGAGTCAAATTAAGGAGCCTGCCAAACCCAAATGGAATCTGAGCATTACTGAAGGCGTTGTATGCCAAATTCAAGCTCTGGAGATATCCAAGTTCAAAAGACTATTATTGGAAATGAATTCGCTGCTAAGGTTGAGAGCAATGACTAAGGCTGCAATTTGGGCTGGGTTGGCCCGAACCCAATCCTAACCCAACCTGAAAAAGTTGGGTTGGGTTGATGTTCGAGTTGAAATTCATGAACCCGATTTTACTTGATGTTGGGTTGGGGTTGACCCATTAGTCAACCCGAACCCGACTCTATAATATATGTTATATGTAATATATAACATACATTGATTTGTTTAGACGCATGATATTTGTATAGCCCCCACCATATAGTATCATGTATTTCTTTTAAGATAATCACTTCACTTAATTCTAATAAGAAAGACTAATACCTTAATAGCATTATTTTATATTTTTTGAAAATTTTATTCTTCATCTCCTCTATGTTGTTTGTTGCCTAAGAAAGATCTATCATAAGCCATAACTCATAATAAACTATAGTCATTTCTGACACTTGTTTTTCTGAACTTTGTATCAAAAGAACAAAAAAAAAATGTCAACAAACAAATTCTAATGAAACATAGGATTAATATATGTAGTGAGAGTTGAGTTAAGATCTAAAATCGAGAAATTCTATGAGGTTTTAAAGGATGGGAAAAAGGTTGGGTTGGTTTTAAGATCTAAATTCGAGCCCAACCCAACCCGAAATTGACTTCAGGTTGGGTTGGGTTGGGTTAGGGTTGAAGGAATTTAGTTAGGATTAGGGTTAGGGTTGGGTTGGTCAGGTTAAAGGTCGGGTTGGGTTAGGATTAGGATTAGGGTTGGGGTTTAGAACTTAGGTTGGGCTAGGGTTGGCCTCAATTCGACCTAACCCGTTCAGATTTGCAGCCCTAGCAATGACGTTACTTTTCAATTCCATAGTACCTGCTTCAAATTTCTCGGTCACCCCCTCGTCCCTCAACAGCTGGCAAAGATGATTGCGTGGCACCAAGACACAATGTGCTATCACTGTGTGTATGATACTTGAGCTCAACGAGGTTTGACAACTCTCTGTAATTTTGTACAGTACTATAGTGTTTTACCATCGTGGGTAAAGATCTCTATTAAGTATTTATCTTTTTTTTGACAGATAGATCTATGAAGTATTTATTTGATCCAGGTTTTTAAATGGGCACCATAGCCACTCTCGTCTTTCAACGTACATAGAAACCTATGAAAGATAGAAACAAACATACGAGAAAAATGCTACATTTTGAAAATTTGAAGAAAAAATAAGGGTAAATTAGTCTTTTCAATCTTTCCGTTATTGTCCATTGTTAGAAATGTCCAAGATACTTTATAATAAATTTTTAAACAGTAGGGTATGTTTGTGTCCATTTGCTAAACCATAAGGGCAGTTTTCGTATTTAACCCAATACTTGATTTGTAGCTCTGCTACAAGCATTCTAGATCTTTAGGCTGCATTTGTTTTAGGTGTAAATTCAATTTTACACTGATGGGAAATGTGAACCGGTTTAGTTGTGATGGAAATTGAGACCAATAGATTTTGAAAATTTACACTGACTATGTTTGGTAGTCAAGGTGTAAATTCTGTGAAAATTTACACAGAAGAAGAAGAAGAAGAAGAAGAAGAAGAGGAAGAAGAAGGAGGAGGAGGAGGTGAAGAGAGAAAGAGAGAGAACAAAAGAG